AACCATCACTGTACTTTTCAAGAGTTTGCTTTTCAAAAAGGAAGCCAAGGTAAATAATCGAAATGTTTGTATTTTAAATATTAATCTTTGTTTTAAAAATACGGTTCTTCAGGGGGATGTTTCTTATCTACCGCTTGTCAAAGTCCATGGCTGGGCAGCTCAGTGGGCGGGACGCCCGGAGCCAGCAATGTTCAGAGCCCCCCCACCCGAGGTCACAGCCAACCCTACCAGAGTGCGTCAGAGCTCACAAAGGGTGCCGGCCAAGGTGGGGGAAGGCTTCAAACAGAGCCTTCCTCCCTGGGAGAGATAGCCCAGAGTGATGATTCTCAGTGCTACGTTTTCTTTAGACAGGGAGAGATTTGTAGCCCATCGTGAATTATTGTCTTGATTGCCAGAAAAGCCAGACCGACTTCAGCTTCCAGAGGCAGGAACTTCCTCACCTTCAGTCCCTGCCCTGTCCCCCCTTTCCTGATGGAGTGGCTGATTTTTCCTTCTTATCTTTCCTCTCACTGATCTGGGTATATGTTCTCTGTATGTGTGTGTCTGTCTCTGTCTCTGTCTCTCTCTGTCTCTCTCTCTCACACACACACACAGACACACACACACACACACACACAGTAAGCCCCTTCGAATCCTCTTTAGAAGTTGGTTTAAGTGAAGTTGATTTGGAAGTTAGGTTTAAAGCCAGGTGACTCACTCAACAGCATATCCCAGCGGGCAAAGGTTACTTCATCTTCTTCCTTGAGTCTTTATTTCTTTTTGACACTTCTCTTCTTCATCTCTACTTGCCATTTGTTTTCTCACCTATGTATGCTGCCAGTTAGCTCTGAGAAAGGAATAACAAAAATTTAATGGAAAGGGCAATGTGTGTTTGTATCCTGTGTATCTGAGCTGAGACTAGTGTGCTTCTGCCAAGAGTGAAAAAGCAGAAAACGGGATTTTGAAGATGGATTTTTATTTCTTACTGTTAAACCAGGAGATTAGTGGTTACAACAAAATCACTCACTTGCTGTCTTCTTCAGCCACGTCCTCATTGTATATTTGCCCTGATCTAAATATATGTGACTTTCAAGCTACATCAAATTCTTTTTGGAAACAAGATGTGTGCAAATAAAACAAGTTTTTGTCGGGCACGGGAGGTGGTCTTGTCTGCTGTTTTCACGTTTTATATGCCATGGTTTGTCTCCATCATTCATTAGCTCATCATTCAAAGCCATTCATTCATTCATTTGATAAGCATTCAGCAAGAGCCTCACTTTGTGCCAGATCCTTTGCCAGGCTCTGGGGACGCAAAGATAAGTAGGACAGGATGAAAAGTCCATGTCCTCAAGGAACAGGGTCTGAGGGAGACACAAAAGCGCCCTCATGGAGCTTACACATTAGTAAGAGACACAGACATGTTCACAGTAACGGCCATATCACATGTGATTTCACTGCCCTGAAGGATACGATTAAAGCTGCTGAAGGCAGATGGGGTGCAATGGTGACTAATTCTCAGTCGAGGAGGATAAGGTAGGCTTCATGGAGGAGGTGGCTTTTAAGTAGATCCTTGAAAGATGAGTTGGTTCCTGTGGGGGGGGAAGGGGAGGGGTGATGGAAAGGAGGTTGGAGCACCCAGAAGGCTGAGCTCAGGTGTTTGAAAGCACTACTTGGTCCTCGGGGACCTTCTCAATTGGCTCCGGCCTTCTTCCCATTCGGTTCCGCCCCACTTCTGCTGGTGGGCTACAGTGACTGTACCTGCTTCCCCAGCCTGGTTCTCAGGACCTAGTTAAGACTTATACTGGTCCTTCTGCCTCTTTCTACTCCTGGCCGCCTTGGGGAATGCCCCGTCATAGCCTCCAGCCCTTGGCATCCAAGTCCAACCACTTCTGGTCTATATCCTCACTGGTCCTCTGCCTCCATCGCCAACTTCCCTACATGGGCAAGGAGGGACAGAGAGCAGCGTGCTCAGACAGTCAGACAGGAACTCTGCTAGTTGGCATGGTGCTGCGGGACTATTACAACTTTCCTGGCAGTCTACCTTGTCCTAGCTAGAGACTTGGCAGGGGGTGGGGGTTCTTGCACCAAAGGTCACCCCAAGAGACAGAATAAGAATGCAATGAAGCCAGGGCGCCTGGGTGGCTCAGTCAGTTAGGCGTCTGACTCTTGATTTCCACAGAGGCCTGACTTTCATCTGAAATACACTTATTTTTCCCGGGCTTTTTAGTTATGTTGGGGGAGGGAGAAAATTTGGAGACACATCACTGATATCTTCCGGCATTTCAGGATAACAGCTTATGTTTTATCCATTGTCATTCTCCTTCACTTCCTTTTCCTTTCTTCCCGGTTAGCGTAGTGAACGCCACACAGTATGTGTTCAGGTGAGACAGATCCAGATTTGGATTTAGGCTCTGCCACATATTAGTCTTATGACCTCGAGTCATTTAATCTCTCAGAGCTTTAATGGCTCCTCCTGTAACATGGAGTCAATAAGGAGCACCTGCCTTATAGGAGATGTGGAGATGAGGTAGGATAACCCACACGAGGCATTCCACACAGGGCTGAGACATAATATGTTTACAGTAAGTATTTGTCGTAGCTGTTGTTATTGTGATCATTGTCATTTCATTATGCCTTTTCTGATATCGACATTCTCAATTCTATTCTTAAAGTGTTATCCCCATGGGGACGCCTGGGTGGCTCAGTCGGTTAAGCGTCTGCCTTCAGCTCAGGTCATGATCCCAGGGTCCTGGGATCGAGTCCCGCATCAGGCTCCCTGCTCCGCGGGGAGCCTGCTTCTCCCTCTGCCTCTGCCTCTGCCTCTGCCTCTCTCTCTCATGAATTAATAAATAAAATCTTTAAAAAAAAAAAGTGTTATCCCCATGGTGACCAATATTAGGATGGCTGAGGACAAAGTGGCTCAGAGATCTCACAGATTAAAGTAAGTATAAGGGTCATTGGTCATCTCTACTTAGAAGTTCAGTACCGTACGGACGCCTGGGTGGCGCAGTTGGTTATGCATGGGACTCTTGGTTTCGGCTCAGGTCATGATCTCGGGGTTGTGAGATTGAGCCCTGCCTCAGGCTCTGTGCTCAGTGTGGAGTCTGCTTGAGATTCTTTCCCTTTGCCCCTCCCCTGCTCGTGCACACACTCTCTCTCTAAAATAAATAAATCTATTAAAAAAAGGTTTAGTGGGGCGCCTGGGTGGCTCAGTCGTTAAGCGTCTGCCTCCGGCTCAGGTCATGATCCCCAGGGTCCTGGGATCGAGCCCCGCATCGGGCTTCCTGCTCCACGGGAAAGCCTGCTTCTCCCTCTCCCACTCCCCCTGCTTGTGTTCCCTCTCTCGCTGTCTCTCTCTCTCTATCAAATAAATAAATAAAATCTTTAGAAAAAAAAAAAGGTTTAGTACTGTAACTGACATCAGTTAGAGAACAGCCATTGACCATCACATTCCCATGAATTTATCTGGTATTATCTCCGAGAGATGATCCAGGAGTGATGGATGCCGCAAGATAACAATCATGTATCCCCAAACTTTCCCCCGCCCCCTGTATACATAAAAAGCTCAACACTGGGTGTTGTATGTAAGTGATGAACCACTGAATTCTACTCCGGAAACCAATATTGCACTGTATGTTAACTAGAATTTAAACAAAAAAATAAAAATACAAAATAGATAAAAAGCTCAGAAAAAATATACTGTAGACTCAAACAGGAAATACCCGTTTCATTGGCCAGAGTTACTTTAATAATCTCTTACGGTCCCATAGTTTCAAGGGAACTGACACTATACCCTTGGATTTCAGCACAGAATGTTGCTACTCTATTGTGCTTTTCATCTAACAGCACCGGCAGTGACTTGTGTTGGACATGATTGCTCCTCTGTCTTTTTTTTTTTTTAGAGAGAGAGAGCAGGGGCAGAAGGGCAGAGGGAGAGGGAGAGAAAGAATCTCAAGGAGTCTCCATGCCCAACACACAGCCCGTCGTGGGCTCGATCTCATGACCTTGAGATCATGACCTGAGCTGAAATCAAAAGGTGGGCACTTAACCCACTGAGCCACCCAGGCGCCCTGTTCCTCTGTCTTAAGGAAGACAACTTGGCCCAGGTAATTGGTCATTTCTTTGATAAAATTATAGAAACCTTTACTCAAAAAACCCCATTTTTATTTATTTATTTTCAAATATTCTATTTATTTATTCGTGAGAGTCAGAGAGAGAGAGAGGCAGAGGCAGAGGGAGAAGCAGGCTCCCCGCCTAGCAGAAAGCCCGATGCGGGACTCGATCCCAGGACCCTGGGATCATGACCTGAGCCGAAGGCAGACGCTTAACCATCTGAGCCACCCAGGCGCCCAAAAAAACCCATTTTTAAAATCACAAGCCACTGCTGGTGGATCAAAGTAGAAGGCCACGCTTACTTAAAATGGTTATCTAATTATATCTGTGTTGTTTAGAAAGTTTTGAAAACTAATGGACTAAATGTACTGACTCAACTATTTTTTTGGCCAGCTGCGTCCCTTAAAGTTTCCTCAAGTAAATAATGATTGCAAAGTGACTGACATTCCCTTCTATTTATTAGTAGTTGGGGGCAAGTAGTGAGAAGCGCTTTTGCAAGGTAGAGTCAGACACAAACTTTGCCCCTCCCTCCCTCATGTCAATATCCTGAAAAGCACCAGATAGAAAATATGTGGTAGTTTTGGCTATCTTCCACTGCATCTAGCATACCAAAGCTATACTACCCTGCTTCCCAGTGAGAGAAGATGTCTCTCTTCTCTTTTGGTTCTGTCGTTACACCCTATCAGAGGGGAACTTAAAGGAGAGATGTTGAGCTCCAATGCCTTCCAAGAGCTCTCATTGACGCATAGATGGTCCCTAAAGCCATGGGACTAGATAATACCACCTGGTCAGAGAGAAAGAGGACTCTAAGGAATCATGACATTTAGAGGTCAGGTAGGCAAGAAGAAGCCTACAAAGGACACTGAGAAAGAATGACCAGTAAGGTAGGAAGGAAAGCAGAAAGTATGATGTCGTTCACTGACATCATGAATGGAGAGAGTTTCAAGGAGTGAGTCATCGATGGTCTCACATGCTGTTAGCAGGTCAAGTAATTCAAGGACTCTAAAGGGTCCATTGAAGTTGGGAACACAAAGATTGTTGATAAAATTATTCAGGGCTGTGTCAATGGAGTGATGGGAAAAGAAGCCAGATCCTGAGGGAGCTGAGGAATAGATGGGAGGTCAGGAAGTGGAGACAGCACAACATGTGAAGACTTCTTTTTTTTTTTTTTAAAGATTTTATTTATTTATTTGAGAGAGAATGAGAGACAGAGAGTACGAGAGGGAAGAGGGCAGAGGGAGAAGCAGGCTCCCCGCCGAGCAGGGAGCCCGACGCGGGACTCGATCCAGGGACTCCAGGATCATGACCTGAGCCGAAGGCAGTCGCCCAACCGACTGAGCCACCCAGGCGCCCCATGTGAAGACTTCTGCCCCAAAGGGGAGCAGGGACATCTTGGAGGGGATGTGCAGTTATATGATCTTTCTAAGAAAAGAGATAATAGAGTATATTCAAATGCTGAATGGGAATGTTCTACTAGAGATGGAGTGATTGAAGATGTAGAAAAGAGGGGGATAATGAAAGGAATCAAAGCCTCGAGTGAGTGGGCAGAGTTGGGATACAGATCACAGTGGTGAGTTTGGTCTTTGTTGGGAAGAGGGAGATGTCTTTCATCCTATCGAGAGGAAAGAGGAGCAGTTGCAGATTAGAAACGTGGGTTTGGTGATGAGAAGACTCATTTATTCAATGAACACATACCAGGCACTGTTTGGGGCTATATCTGAGGATACTGTGAAATAGGCAAAATCCCCGTTGTCATGGCATGGAGTTTTCATTCTAAGGGGGAAGACGTGTAATGAAGAATTTAAAACACATAATACGTGATACAATTTCAGAGGCAGAAGCATTATGAAGAGCCATAAAATAGGGTAAAGGGTTAGTGGGTAGTTGTGTGCACAGGGAAGTGAAGTGGTTCTTTTTGCAAGGGTAACCACAGAAGGCCTCTCTGAGAAGCAAAGACCTAAAAGAATACGAGGGAAGAATGTTTCAGGATGGCTTCCATTATCTCAATGAAATATAAAGTGAGGTCACCAGCTGAGAATGAGGTGTGTAGGAGGGTTGAGGAGAGAGGGGAGAAGATATGAAATAATTGTTCTGGAGAGTGAGAAAATGAATTTACCAGGGAAATGTACCAGGATTGCCTGGTGGTATTAACTGACATTTGATCTTTGTGATCATGTCTTTAAAGTGAAGGTTGGCATCCCAATTCTGTGATTATGTCCAGAAACATTTAGTGGCTCAGATGCTGAGTTCAGTCAGAGTTAGAGTTTTGCCAGATGAACACTACGGTGGAGTGGAGGCGTGAGAGAGAGAGAGAGAGAGAGAGAAACCAACCCGGCGGTTGTAAAGTTGTAAAGAAGTGATTATAATAATGGTTCATGGAACCTGAGCACAACAAAGAAGGGAGGTTGAGAGGCAGCTGAAGAATCAAGAGGAAAAGCGATGGAACAGTGGATTACAGGTCTCCATGAGCTCAAAGAATGTAGACATGTCTGAGTCCTCACTTAGATTCAAACCTGAGGGGCGCCTGGGTGGCTCAGTCGGTTAAGCGGCTGCCTTCGGCTCGGATCATGATCCCAGGGTCCTGGGATCAAGCCCCGCGTCGGGCTCCCTGCTCGGTGGAGAGCCTGCTTCTTCCTCTCCCTCTCCCTGCTGTTCTGCCTACTTGTGCTCTCTCTCTCTCTCTCTGTCAAATAAATAAAATCTTAAAAAAAAAGAAAAAAAAAAGATTCAAACCTGAATGACCCACCCCCCCCACGCACATCCCACTGACAGAGCCAAATCCTAGCATCTACCCAGTCAGTTGGATCCCTTGTGCAACAATTGATTGTTAAGACATTTGTACGATGGTTGAGACAATGTAATGTTTTAAATTCACTGGATATTTTTATAGCCTTTGGCTTTACTTTAGCTATAGACCCACAATAATGAAAGACTTAAAGACCTCCTAAAGTCCACTAAAGGTCAAATTTATTCAGGTTTTGCAAACACAGTTCCCTAATGTCCCATCCAATTTGAGGACATTCACAAAATTGGGCTCTGAGTCCTTGTATGGTTTTGCCATAGAAACTGTAAGACTCCCAGGTCCCCTGCTTTGCAGCACACTCTCTAGTTCCTCCGGGATCGGGGCTGGAGAGCCTTTGATTGAGACCACTTGGGGTCACAATGCATTTTTGATTACTTCAAACTCAAGACCCAAATCACCACAAGTATGTTCGCTTGCTTGCTTGCTTGCTCTCTCTTTTCCCTTAGCATAAATCCCCTGTCATCCTGGGGCCTGAACCCACTCCACAGAGGTGAGGGCACTGTTTGCCTTCCTGCTTTAACCCAGAATTTTAATCCTAATACAGGAGACTGTCAATCTCCGAATCCCTTTTGTGATTTCTCTCAAGAGGCCAAAGGGTCATTAGAGATAGGAATCCTTGTGTTCCTGGTGGTCAGCTCAGAGTTTCTGAAGTGACTTTGCAGATTACTTGCTTCACTTTTGAAAAATGATCAAAATACTAAGAAATTCTTTTTAAGCCAGTTCACTATAACCGGATGTTAACCAGTTAATTGGTTATAAAGCCCTTACAAGGAAAATGGCATAACACACGAGCTAGCACATGAACTCAGTGAGAAGACAGATCTGGGCTCTGCCACTCACTAGCTGTGACCTCTGCTAAGTACCTAACCTCTCCAAGTCTCGGTTTGTCGTCTGTGCGATAGGGCTCATGACTGCTGTAAAGATGAAAAGAGACAAGCCATGTCAATGACAGAGCACGATGTCAGGGCTCTGCAAGCCTTTGTCAGGATCATTACTGTTTTGTTCTTTGCTGTATTCCCCAGTGACTGAAACCCAGTTTGGTACATAGCAGAGACTCATTAATTGTTTGTTGGATAGATCATGTGTGTCTTATACTGTCTTTTGCAATTGCCACAATGTTAGGTACATGTGAACTTCTCTTAAAACCAAGAATCCTGGGGGGGCGCCTGGGTGGCTCAGTCGTTAAGCGTCTGCCTTCGGCTCAGGTCATGATCCCGGGGTCCTGGGATCGAGCCCCCGCATCGGGCTTCCTGCTCCGCGTGAAGCCTGCTTCTCCCTCTCCCACTCCCCCTGCTTGGGTTCCCTCTCTCGCTGTGCCTCTCTCTGTCAAATAAATAAAATCTTTAAAAACAAAAAACAAAAAACAAAAAACAAAACCAAGAATCCTGGAATATTATAGCTATAAGCACCTGGGAGATCAAGACCGCATTTTCATTTTACAGAGGAGGGAACTGAGGCTCAGGGAGATGGGGTGAGTTGTCCAAAGTCAGAGAAGCAGTTGAAGGTGGTATTGACGGTGAAGAGCCCAGACCTCAAAGCCAGAAGACATGGGTTCAAATCCTTACTCCCACTTACTAGCTGTGTGATTTGAGCAAGTTATTTCACTTCTCTGCACCTCAGTTTCCACTATGTGTGAAGTGCAGGTGCACAGGGAATATAGTCTATAATAATGTAATAATGTTGTTTGGTGACAGGTGGGGACTGCGCTTCTCATGGGGAGCACTGAGCAATGTATAGAATTGTTGAATCGCTACATTGCACGCCTGAAACTAATATAACATCGTATGTGAATTATACTTCAATTAAAAAAGCCCATAGAGGGGTGCCTGGGTGGCTCAGTTGGTTAAGCGACTGCCTTCTGCTCAGGTCATGATCCTGGAGTCCCTGGATCGAGTCCCGCATCGGGCTCCCTGCTCGGCAGGGG